CCCCCCCCCGTTGGCGAAGTCTGGAGCAAATTCGTGGCTTTAACCACAGATCGTAACCTACCCGTAACTCCTTGAAAACACCACAGAATGCAAAAAGAGTTGGTATTAGTGATCAGCACGTCAATAACCCCTACAGACCAAGTTATAGCGAAATCCGTGACTTTGGCTCCTTCCCGTATACCCATCGTAACCCCAGAAAATGAAGCTACCGTACGAAATGAATACGATATTCGGCATTAGCGGGTTAGATAACCCCCTGGCGCAAGTTTCAGCGAATTTCGTGGTTCTGAGTTTTTGGGGCCCGTTGAGTGGAATAGCGGCAGATTTTTCAATTCATTTGAGCACATAATTATGCAAGAAATTTGGAGTAATTTTCGAAAACCCAAGTCATCTAGAGAACTAGGGAGAACTAAACCCGAGTTACATCTAGAATACTAGAGAACTTCCAAACGCTATGCATGCAACTCCCAAATCCTACCGTTGGTAACTGTCGAGACGTATTCATCCATTAGCCGACTATTGCCGCCCTCCACTCGTTGCGTACGATATCCTTCTTCAGCAATTGATGTTGATGTAGTCGGTGTGTCGTATGTGACGACATCGACATTCCTTCCTGCGTTTGTGCAATGTTCAGAACAAGTACTACAGCAGATTTTGCTACAATCAACACATACCGTCAACGACTGTGGGCATATTTTCTGCTTGTTGACTTCGCCCGCGTTGAAACGACGCCTCACGCCCCCTGATCTTTTGCAGTATCTAAGAATACCAAGTGATAATGAAGAGATAACGAGACAAATGACTCTATGCATATTCAAAACAGAAAGCAGAAAAAGCACATATCTACCTGATAAGTATATCTGACTGGAAGGTTAGCAGCCGGAAACCTAGTATCACAGAACTTGCGGGTTTCCAACGAGGAGACAATATTCCTCTCCACTCCAGATGTTGATGCTTCAGATGCTAAATTTATACTTTGTCAAAGCTTCATGGGTAAAACTCCGATAAGACGCTCTCCCACTTATCAGAAATGAGTAGCTTTTACAACCCTATTTTTGATGAAGGGGTTTGGTGATCTCACTTTGAAACTAGTATACGTCATATTTCCTTACTCTGTGAATGTA